TTTTTTTACATATTATAATAATTTAGACTATGATTCATATAGAAAATAAAAAAACCAAACATTACCCCACTAGTAAAAGTCATGCTTATCTCTAACAGTAATATTATCCAAATCCAAATCATGATTAGGGACAAAACAACAAACAAAGAGAATTTTTCTCCAAAAGAAGAAACGCATCAAGAAATTCCAAAATCCAATTAAAAATGATCCCCAAGTAAAATAAGGAAGATTACTGCTACCATAAGAGCCCCATTAAGAATATTGGTAATGTCATCGTTTGCTGGTTTTGACATATTCGAAGGAGAAAATGTCATCGTTAGTGACATTCTGCCTCCGTAGTCCTTATATGGAGTTGTTTGGTTCTCTTTAACGTTATTGAAATCATTTCAAATGAACCCAACAAATTACTGTTTATTATATCCTATTTTAATTTAATTTATCAACACATGTGATAACGACAGCTGTTTTGTTCATACACTCAACGTGCTGGAAAATTATCAATCGTGCCCAAAATGAAAGCGCGTTTACTGCTATTTTTTCTTTCTTTTCTTTTTTGTACGATTAATAATTTAGGAAGTTGATTTCTCCATTCTTGTTTTCTCTACTTACATTTTCTTTTGTTTTTAAATATTTATAATCAATTTTGTTCATCTTTGTTCTTTTTCTTTCTTATTTTACCCTTGGTGACGTGACAAGTGAGATATCTACTTTGGTGTTGATGTGTGAAAAAAATAATAAAGAATATTTTTAAAGATAAAAAATAATTTTGAACACTGGGCTTAGCCCAAAAACATATTTGGTCACTTTTAATTTTGCCAATTTGATCATAGTATTTCATTTCATTAGCAATTTGAGTTCAATTTTTAACTTCCGTCATCTAAAATTTAAAAATAGAAAATAAGATTAAAATACAAAAAAAAACTTGGAAAAAATAGAAACAAATGATTATAGCAAGCAACCACCGCCCCTATCAGTCCAACCCACCAAGCCACCACCTCTCTCTGTCTCTGATTGATACTTCCGAGGGGTGGCCGTACTGGTACTGGATTTTTTACGGGTCATTTCATTAACTTCACCAAAATACAAGGGAGAAGTCTTTAAAAAACGAAGACCAGAAAGATAAAAAGTCCACAGCGATATCAATTGATAAACCAAGGATGTACAACTGCTAAAAGAAATGATATCTTAAAGGGAAATCAAAACAGTGGCAAATTAAGTTATTGAGGGACCACGTAGATCATCCCTCGAAAAGAACCTGCATCAAGGTGGGTGGGGGAGCTTGATTCACCGATCTTGGGGTGGGGTTTGGTTGCTTTTTTTTCTCTTCTTACGGTCTTATTTTAATTACAAGTGAAGTAATATAAAGGAAATAATATATAAGTGAAGTAAAAAGAAATTAATGCAGGTAAGTATAAAATAGGAAAGAGAAAGGAAGTAGGAAAATCAGCTCCCATAATTTAAAGGTCATTGTTTCTCAGTAAACTTTAGTGGCTTGTAAAGTTTTAGTGTCTATAAATTACTTGAAGATATATTTTTTTAATAAAAAAATCTTGGTACGATGGTACATAAGATGCGACAATCCAAATTTCAATAACCACAAAAAAAAAAAAAAAAAAAAAAAAAAAAAAGAAAAAAGGATACTAACAATAAATTACACTACCACCGCTTGCATAGAGACTATAATGAGAGGTTATAGTGGGGGACACTAGCCCGATAGCCCTATGGTATACCCACCGTATCTCTTCTTTTTTTGGACGAAACCATATCTCTTCTTGAGAGTAGTTTTTATAGAAATTAACTTATAAGAAGTTTTTGAGATCAAATTGTATTGGCTATAATTCAATAGCTTTCAAACTTTTAAGTGCGGTCCAAGTACAAAGATGAAAAGCTAACACATATGACATGCAGAAAGACAAAATAAAAAATAAAAAAAAATGTAATTCTAATTCATAAGCATCACAGGAATCGAAAATGGATTTTAGATTTTGTGACCTCAAACAGCTATAAAGTACCATAAGTTTTCACTCCTTTTTGGCCCTTTTGGCTGGAAATACTTTATTGACAAAATAACAAACAACAAACTTAGCAGTAAACAACTCAAAAGCAACAACAGAGTCATTAGAACCCAACAACAAAACAGAACCAAACCCGCTACTCCATCCACAACACCTGTATTAATTTGAATACAACCTTCAAAATTTATGGGACATCACACATCAAGAAGTGAGGATAAGGGTTGATAAACCCTTACCCTACCATAAATTTATCTCACAAGAAGAAAATAAGGCTCCCTTTGAATGGAAGGATTCGAAAGAAAGAATTTGAATTTGACAACAAGACTAAATTTGCTATTAAAGTAAGAACCACATTAGATTGAATGTATTTGAAATAACTAGATGTAGTACATTTGAAATGAATTTGAAATGACAACATGCGAGGACGGTCTCATGAACATGCTAACCTGAGCTATAGTCAAGAGAACTTGTTTTTTTTTTTTTTTTTTTTTTTTTTTTTTTTTTTTATAGATTAAATTAAACCCTAGCCTAGCCACTCAAATAAAATCCTATTAACTAATCTCACTAGGCTGACCAACAACCAAAAAACTAACCTCCCACACCACACATGAAATATTAGACTGCCATTGGGCTGACCGCACAACTAGGCTAACCACAGAAATTCCCTTTATTTTTTTTATTCTCTTTTTGGTGGGGATTATTTAGGATTTATGAAGTATGAATTAGGATTTATAATTGAGGTTTATCAATTAGGGATTTTCAATTCTGGCTTATCAGTTTATGAGTTGCAATTGATTTTGGTTTGTTCAATTATTAAATAGGATTTTAAATTGATTTTGGTGTTCTTGCTTGTATGAATTATCAATTAGGGATTTTAATAAAGGCCTAGTTTCTTATTTACAATTGATGACATTTTCTAGATTTTGATTAGATATTTAACTATTTAAGTATGTCTTTATTGGAATTTTTGTTAGGTCAACATCGAAATGCTAAGATATCAAAGAATCTTCGAGATTTTATTGAGAGAAACAATGATGAATCATCAATTATGTCCCCCTGTGTGTTTTTTTTTTTTTTTTTTTTTTTAAATTTTTTTTTTATCTATGAGTTCAGTTGTACCTTCGAATTTTCTATAAGTTTGTATGTAAGGTAAATTTAGTCTACGCCATTTTGAAATCCTCGGTCCGTCTCTTTATATGCAAGGAATCATTTGAAGTTCATTTGTTTTCTTCATTTAAATCTTGACATACATGAATTGTACTAGTCTATACAAACAAATCTACCTTACAATATCATTTACTTTCATAAATTTGGAACCCTCCATCCAAATGGAGTGCGTATATCCTCCAAAGTTCAACATTTGGAACTATCACATAAATGAATATAAAATCATATAAATTTTCTTTAAAAAAAAAAATTGTATAACATGATGAGCAACGATACAAGGCACGAGAGTCCTAGCTTATTCTTGTACTTGTATCTTTTATCTTTATCTCTTATATTTTTTTCTTTTCTTCTTCTTTTTTTTTTTTTTTTTTTTTTTTTTTTTTTTTGGTTTTATCTCTGATATATTTGATTGTTTATAATATTAGATAATTTAGCCCCACCCAACCAAGAAAATTCAGAACCCAGCACCCAAGGCCCAACCCAGCCCAGCCTTGTAGGTTGGATCACTTACAAAGCTTAGCCCAACCTAATTTTATGTAGGCTGGATCCACCCAGATGGGTTCGGCTGCAAATTCAGAATTGGTATATGTTGGTGGTTTCGGTTTTCCTCCGGCCCAAGTTGAATTTTTTTATTTTTTTATTTATTTCAAATTAGCCTCTCCGCACGCGCTTCCGGGCAAGCGAGAGGTTTTTTAAAAATAAAATTTTTTTAATTTATTTTAAAATTAAAAAAGATAATGAGTAATTGTGTTCCATAAAAATAAGATTCATTATCTGATTTTTCTTTTAATTTTAATTTTTTTAAATATGAAAAAATGTGAATTTACCATATTATCCTCATTTAATTAATAATTTCAATTCTTAATGTTTGCATTAACCAATGACATTTTCTGGTATTTTGAATGTTTTACCATTCTCTATCTTTTGATTTATATATACTAGTCTCTCCGCACGCGCTTCTGCGCCTACGAGAGACTTTCTTTTTAAAAATTTAAATTTATTTTAGAATTAAAAAAGATAATGGGTAGTTGTGTTCCATAAAAATAAGATCCATTATTTGAATTTTCTTTTAATTTTAATTTTTTAAATATAAAAAAGTGTGAATTTACCATATTATCCTCATTTAATTAATAATTTCAATTCTTAATGTTTGCATTAATCAATGGCATTTTTTGGTATTTTGAATGTTTCACAATTCTCTGCATTTTGCTTTATATATATATATATATAAGTTATATTAGAGGAGAGAGGAATCGAACTTATGACCTCAAGTGCATGAGTAAAATTCTTAACCACTTGAGTTACAAGCTTTTTGCATTAACAAAATCTTTTAGTTGAACCTTTGCCCCACAATCAACAAAAAATATAACCAACAAAAGACACGCGTCACAAGTAACTTGTAGATCAAGTGATTAAAAGCAATTACTCTCTCATGTACTCAGAGTCATGTGCGTCGAATCCCCATTTCTTAATATATCATGTAAAATAAAATGTAAAGGCAACACCTGGCAGTCAATGGTGGGGAATAGAAATAGCCTCCCCGTCAACGGAGGGTCCGAGTTTTAAAACGAGTATCTATCGGTATCAAGTTTTAAAACGCTAAAAACAAATGATTTGCTAATTCTGCTTCCCACCGTTCTTATCGCTAAACCCGTCCCCCTCCATTTCCCTTCAAAACTCCAATTTTACGAAAAAAAATAAAAAACCAGATAAACAAAAAAAAAAACACACATAAAAATAACCCCCCAAAAAAAAACTAGCTCTCCACGCGCCGCCTCACGCACCCCGTGATCGCATTCTCACGAAGCTTCTAGAACCATGGAACAGCCCAAGCCCGTCTCCGAGGCCGAGGCCAAAACGCAGGCTCCGAACCAGACTCAAGGTCCGAACCCGAAAGCGGCTGGCGAAGCTCTGACGGGGGATCAGAACTGGGCTACCTTCGTCATGGGATCACAGGCTCAGACTCAGACTCAGACCGAGGCCTCCGGGACTCCCACGGGTTCCGGGCCCAAGAAGTCGGTTCATTGGAGCCCCGAATTGGTCTCCGAATCGCACAACAGTAGCGCCGGTGCCGCCTCTGATTCGCATCAGGGATCTAATCCCTATGTGGCTCCTTCCCCAATGCTCACCTCCTCTTTCTCATTCAAAGGTAGTATTTCTGTAATTCTACATGTATATACGTATTTGAATCCGTATATGTATGCTTATGAAGACGACGTATTTGTGTATTGCGTGCATGGTCAGATTCGGTGGAGACTGTAAGGGGCGTGTTTGGGAGGTGGAGAAAGTCGGTGGGGGAGGCTACTAAGAAGGCTGAGGATCTCGCTGGAAACACGTGGCAGCACTGTGAGTTTCTGCTTGCTTTTTGCCTCTTCTTTTCTTTGTTGATCTCTGCTGATTAATTTGCTTCGATTTTTCTTCTACATGTTGTTTTGAAAATAATGGGAATTGTATTAAGATAAGGTTCCAAATGTCTTGGTTGCTTTGTCATTTTCCATTTGCCAATTTTGCTTCCTTTGCTTGTAGGAATTGATTGGCTACTATCATCCATTTTTCATGAATATTAGGAGTTGACATTTTAATTTTGTTGGTTATTCTGATTAATCCCTGTTTCTGAGATTTGTGAAAAATAATAGGTGTGGTCTGTCCTAATCTTATTTGGTAGATTTATCGATGAACACGAGAATCGACAAGTTTAAAATTTGTGAGGAGGATTAGCCAAGCAACCTCTTGTAAAACGCTTAGCCCGGTGCTTGAAAAGTGTTCTATATAGACTGGCTGTTAGTACTATCCTCTAGTTTCTCTAACCATCTGAATTAATTTCCTGTCGAATGCTTTTCTTTTGTTGTTTGTTTCACACTGACTACGCAAATTATATTCTGCTTTTTTCAGGAAAAAATGGAATTTCAATCTCTCTTGATCTCCCCAGTTTTGCTTTTGTTATTCTTATTGTTTACTTTGTCCATTTTGTTGATCCAAAAATATCGTGATTGTGGTGGATGAAGTCACTAATCATCCTGTTTTATTTCAAACTAGTGAAAACAAGCCCTAGTTTTGCTGATGCTGCCATGGGAAGAATTGCACAAGGAACAAAGGTTCTAGCAGAAGGTGGTTATGAGAAGATCTTCCAGTCAACCTTTGAGACAGCTCCTGAGGAGCAACTTCAAAATTCATTTGCATGTTACTTATCCACATCAGCAGGTCCAGTCATGGGAGTTTTATATGTTTCTACCGCAAAACTTGCTTATTGTAGTGATAATCCAATTTCATACAAAGCTGATGACCAAACTGAATGGAGCTATTACAAGGTAAGTTTGCATATGTGCTTACTATTGTGTCTTTAAAAGGTTTTTCAAATATGGGATTTCAATTAACACATAACTTTCTTACCGAAGCATTATTGAGTGATTTATTTTGTTTATTTCTATGACTGCATTATATTATTATAATGTAGAAAATCTTGATAGTGAATCAGGATGTGTGTAAGACATTTGAAGGAAGCTTCCCTCTTGTCTTCCATTATGATGGTGATTCTTCATCTAAGTATTAAAGGGAACATAAATTTTGACAGTGGGATTACTATCAAGGCTTGATATGTGACACTTAGTGTATATAATTTTATTCTGACTTGATTCTCCTTAGTCAGAACTTATGAACCTCTGTACTGCTGATCATTTTAGACAATTTCAACTTTAATCATAACAAGTCTTTAACATTCAAATTTTAAAAAGTAAAATAAATTTTGAGAGTCAAAAATTGGTCCTGTGATAGCACTTTTAAAGGTGCCTGTTCTTGGATGTCAAATTATTTTAAAATGGAGCTACCATGAATACTCCACTGCTAGTTTGTTGAAAAGTCTCTGTTTTGTGGATAGAAATTCCTTTCCATCTATCTTTACTTGGACCCATGTTGTTCCCAATTGAAGGTGTAAATTGTGTTTATGACCAACTCTAGTTGTTCTTTGTTTCAAAGTATGGATTGGGGCTTAAATTGATGCACCATATTGTCAGGCAATTGCTGAGCTAAGCCCATGTATGGATGAAAAGCATTCATGAGGTTCAAGCTTGATTTAAATTTCAATGAGCTTGTTAAGCCTCAGGTTCACCATAGGCTCTTCAACTTTCTATTTGGGCACAAAAAGAGGAGGACTAGATCCAGAAGGGATGTTCAAACTGAAGTAGTTCTAGAGGGGGGAAGCATATAAGAGTATTAATGCTAGATCCCAATAAATGAGAAGCAAGAAATTAATTTCCAACATAATTTTTGTTTTGGAATTTGGGGCCTTTGTTGTGATCATTTGGTTATTTTCATTTTTTCTATCTTCAGTGGGCTTGTGATCTCCATTACTAATGAACTTGTTAAAGGTAGGTTCTGGCTAGATTAGCTAGTGAAGTCTCTTGGCAGTTGGCATTGGAAACGAGACATAGAACACATTATATGGGGGAGACTGACGGACCCTTTTTGTGTAGCATGTTTAATCAATATTGATTATGATATGAAGCTTGTTGATCTAATATTTCCATGATTGTTGCTTGTTATTAGGTGAGCCTAGAGTTGTCCTCGAGTGTTTTTTTTTAAAGAAATAAATTATTACTCTACTGCTTCTACTTATGTTTGCCCTCACTTTTTCTTTTCCTGCCTCTTGGCAAAGATGTATTTGTTATTTACTGTATCGCATAAGAGCGGTGGTAATTTGCCCATAGTGAAATTATGTCATCATTGTTGTGAAACCAAAGATGAGGAACAACTTTTTCATTTTACATTTGCATAAGGAAATAGGGAGTTACATAAAACTAGTTCTGACTTTGTTATTCGCTACTAAATTATGGCAGTTGGTATATAAGATATATCTTTGTGCTTAAATGAAATCATATTAATTAATTCAAAAAAGTTTATTTGGTCAAGCTTCGTGATATATTCCTACTTCTTAATAATATTGTTGAACTGATGTTTTTCAGAAGACATTGTTTTTGTAAGTTCTAATTCTTTTATTTGTTTTTCTTTTGATGAGAATTTTATTTTATTTTTGCAATTATTTTACTCATTTCTTTAGACTCTGTAATATTGGTAGGTGGTTATCCCATTACATCAGCTTAAAGCAGTTAATCCTTCATCAAGCAGATCAAACCCTGCTGAAAAGTACATCCAGGTTATCTCCATTGATAACCATGAGTTTTGGTTCATGGGCTTCTTAAATTATGATGGTGCTGTGCAATCCCTACAAGAAGCTCTGCAAGCCCGGAGCTCATGTGTGTGATAATTATTCTTGTGGGACAGAATTTTTGCTTTTTGCCCATCGTAAGATGTTTTGTAACTGATAAATTTATAGATTAAATTATTCAACATTGATTTTGATACCGTATGCCACACTTGTGCAAATTCTTTGAAAGTCCTGTGAAAATGAGATCCAGTAATTTAACATTTTTCATATGGTTATACTGTTTTAGGAGAATAGTTGGAATGAGATTCAGAATTGTTGCTTTTAGTCCATATGATGATTCTTGTATGCGAAAAACCGAAATCGCATAAATCTTGTGAAGTTTATTTCTGCCTTTATTCATGGAGATTCTTGATGTCCTTCTAGTTCTGCCTTTATTCATGATGATTCTTGGCATTGTTTGCTTGGTGTCCGATCCCAGGAATGGATCAAAGTGAGGTTCATTGTCATTTGGTGAATAATTCTGAGAGTCAGGAGGCAATTAATAAACAGGTTACATGGTTAATCACATGTTTAATAAAAAGTGGTAGCAATTAGTAACCAGTAGAATTCGGTTCTAAACAACTCCACCAAAGAGAGTGAGATTGATGGTGATATATTGTAGTACTAGTGTTGGGTTTCAATCCTGGATAACACCAATGAGAATCATGTGAATGAAACCAACTAAACAGAACGTTCATTTTTGTCAATGTACCGGACCCTTACTTATATATATTATATTCATAAATAAACAGGTTATATAGATATTTTAACGAGTTATCGTGTTGACTCAAAATCCACCTATTTATTAAACGAGTCATAGCAGATTGACTTGAAAATGACCTGCATTTTTTTCGTGCGAGTTGAACTCACTAATTTTTTGTGCGGGTTTCGAGTAGTGTAACAAATTGTATCGTAAATTACCACCCCGTTGTTAGTATAAATTGACAATTTTAACCTTGAAATTAAAGACAATATTGACGGGATGGGACAAATTCGTCGAATAATAAAGAGTTGGTAGACCATTTGAACGAATAATTTAATTGAGCGATCAAAATACAAGTCGGGTATAAATGCAATCCCATAATACGAATCCCACCCACCAAACGTTGCTTCAGGTCTTGGAAAATTGCAAACGTTGTTACTAAACGAAAATCTGGTTCTCTCTGGGTCTTGAGATTATTGGAAGGCTAGAAAACGTTGGTGAGTGGAGTGGGTGTTTGGTACGCAGCATTGGCAGCAGATGATGTGGTGGGGCAAGGCATTTTCTCCCTTTCGGCATACATGATTTCCACAAATCCTATTTTGATCATTCTAATAATTGGGCCTATAATGTCCAAAATCAAAGCATCTATAAAACAACAAACTGTTTACGAACATGCTTAGATTAGATGGATTATATTAGTGACCCACATCTTTCATTTGCACGCGCAACCGTCTTGTCTTAGGATTTGAGCCTATAATTGGATCTTAAAGTGTGATTAAAGCAAATTCATTACGAAAGTCTTCCAAGTCTGCTTCACGCTTGACCGCCCAAGTGCCATTATACGGCTGCCATAGCTTCCAAGCCGGACTTTGTGATGATTGTAAGATCATTTCAGGGAAAAGAAAAAAGCAAAACAAGAAAAACAAAGGATCTTGTTGGGTGGTTTAGGGTCTAATAGAATAGGTAAACCAAACCGAATATCTCGGTAATATCTGCTTTTGCCAATTAGGTTTGTGAAGATTCTCAATTTGATTTGTGATTGGACCCTCAATTCATAATGGTTTGATATTTGGTTATTTTGGGCACAAATGTCCGCCTCCTGATCTGATTCGGTTATGAAGTTGTTATGGTGTAAAGATAATCACTCTTCTGCCAAAAAGTTCAGCATCAAAATATTTTGTATGTCCAAAAACAAGCGGCCATTGTCTATTTACCTACATACCCATAACATTTCCAGAGTTTTTTTTTTTTCTTTTTTTCATAAAAATGTTCATTGATGCAAGCCTCAAAATTTCTTAAGTCTAGCAAGGTTGGGCCACATGCTATGCTATGATCACCAATGATAATTCGGTCAATAGGCAGTGGCCCCTTAATTTCCAGTTAAAATAGGAACTTGATGATGCTTGAGTTGAACTAAGCAAAAGGGTTGGGTGGGGCAGGTCAAAGTGGGATTGATCAGTAATGATCTCTGTCTTCTTAGAACTCCGTTATGTCAAATTTAATTATCGATGATATTATTGTTTTTTTAGGTCTATGATATTTTTAAACATATTTATGCACATATCGTACAAGTATCGATAATATCGGAAAATATTGACGTCGATAATTTCTCTCACACTTTAGCAACATTTGGCCAAAATATCGCTATAATATTGAGATAATGAAGACAATGAAAAATTTGAAGAGTTATTTACACTAACACCCCCTGAAGTTTATTGTGTTTTCACAAAACCCCTCATGTCTCAAAAATTACTAGATTACCCCATGAGGTTTCGTTTTCACAAAAACCTTTTTTATTGATTGTTTATCCAAAAATTGATGATTTCATTGAAGAAAAAAAATTATGCAGATGACAAAATTAACCTCAATGAAGTATATGCAATCTAATCTCAAAGGTCAACTTTGTCATTTAAAGATTTTTTTTTGTGTGTAAAATCTTCAATCTTTAAATGAAAAATCAATGAAAATGAGTTTTGTGAAATCAATTTAAAACCTCAGGGGGTGGTCTTATAATTTCTAAAACCTCAAGGAGTTTTGTGAAAAAATTGAAAATCTCAGGGGGTGTTATTGTAAATAACTCAAATTTGAATCTTATAGGAACTCTATATGGTACTAATTCACTTATGTATCTTACTATGCAATGTATAAAGTGTAAAATATTTTAGTAAATCATTATAAATAAATGATTATGTTGTGTTTAATCTTCTTTCATTAATTACTACATATTTTCTACACTTACAACTTTTGTCAGCTTGCTATATAATCAACTTAAATCAGTTAAACTCATCATATAATGCATTTCTTTTTCTTCTTTTTTTTCTTTTCGTGATAAAGTAATAAATAATTGACTAAATAAACATCCTCCAATGTTTTGAGAAAAATTTCCAAGTTTTTTTTTACAATTTCTATGGATTTATTCAATTTTTATCGATATCAATAATTTCTTGATATTTCCATCAAAATTTCCATGTTTTCGGACCACTGTTATTTTCCAAAACCATCAATATTTTAGACTTTATCCATATCTAATCTTCACTTTTCTTCTTCTTTTTTGATTCAATTTAAAATTCATTTATGTATGTGCCCATATTTATGTAACCTGATAACCTTGCACCGCACATTTTGGAAGCCTTCATGGCATTTAACCCTTTTTCTCTCAAAGTATGCAATTGTACTGTTCCATTAAATAATCATTGTCCTTCAATTCATGACAACTCTCTCAGCCATCAGTCATCAGTCATCAGTCATCATCATGTTTTATAATCTAAGTGTATCTGATTAATTAATTAACTTTCTTCCTTAATTAATAAAAACCTACATGTCGGTGGCCTTGGTTATGTATAGGCAATCATGGGTGCTAGCAATTAGCTTTAGCTGCCTTTATTTTTGTTCCCAAATGTTTCTGGCTTCTTCTGGACCCTTGACGAGTTAATATTTTATAGTGGAGGTCACTTTGGAAGCTTTGGCTTGGCCACTCAATAAGCAGAAAAACTTAGTAACCGACATAACCCCCGTTTTGAAAATTTAATAACCGACATAATACTGTTTTGTTATTCGGTCGTTGTATGAAAGTCTTTCTCCTCAATGAGAGCTTGTTGTGTTTGTTTAATTGAGATGCACTGTGGCTTGACTGAGAGAATATGCCAACACTAGCCACTAATTAAGTAATACTATTACTAGGATCCGACCTTTCAATTATTTCATCAATGTGTGCTTTGATTTCTTTATTTCATGTTTAAGGTTAATGGTTTATGGTCCTACTCAAGATCGATCACTTTCCTTTTTGCACTAACTTGTAGTTGAGTTGCACAACATCTTCTGTTTCATGATTGCATATCACCAAGATATTGAACTTGTATAGGCGACTCAAGAATGTTCATTGAACGTGTAAAGAGTCGAAAACTTACATACATTCAGAAAATGTCTTCCCCTTTTTCTTGTAAGCAAAAAGAAGTAAAATGTTTTATTAGTTGCCCAACTTTTGTTTCGTTGCCGTAGTTTGTTGTTGTGCAGGAGTGCAAGGGAAGGAGAGGTCTCTGCAATAGAGGATTAATTTAATCATGTAGCTAGTATAATAATTGAGTTAATTCAACTCATGATAACCTGTGTTTTTTAATATCTTTTCTCTAAACTATGATAGCTTGTAGGACAAAGCAATGACATTGAAGAAAAGCAGAGTTTCAGAGAGAGAGGAAATGTCATATAAGGTTATAGTGATTATGATGAGAGAGGGAAGAGGGACAGGGGGGAGGGATGGGTAGGGAGTTCAATTACACGCAAGAGCTGGTGAACAGTAAGGAAGAAGAGAATCTCTCTCTCTCTCTCTCTCTCTCTCTCTCTCTGCAAGCTGGATGGTAGTGGAGGAAGCATTTTACATTGTCAGCCCAAATATAGCATGGTGATTCATTTCTTTTTGCCTTTATCAATATATCTCCTTATTTTTATATGCTTAACATTTACCCCAACCCCCACAACTTTTGTTTGGTCGTACCTCCAACACTCACAGCCAAAAACATTTACATTTAAATTAGTAAATGTTATTTTACACATGTACATGCATATGTATGCTTCAAACGATTGATTCTCACCTTTATTAGAGCACCTCCACTCATTTTTCATGGCAAAGGACAAGGGCAAGGTAAGGGCTATTACTATTCACGTGAATAGTGGCAACCCTTACAAAAGGCTTGTGGTGTTTCCATCCATTGCCATGGCAAAAAGGAAATTTGTATAGAGTTTTGGTGTGGGAAGTGAAGAATATGACTAAGTATTTATTTAAAAAAATTCTGAAATTTTTAGTATTTTTTAGATTTTTTAAATAATTTTTCTTCGTTGCTGACGTCATCGTTGACTA